AGCAAGCAAGACTTTTTGGGCGTGGCCTCAATGAGTTTCCGGACATCGTCTTGGCTCAGTAGATTAAACTTGTCAAAAGAGGGTACTTCAGGAATATTCTCGCTTGCACTGTAAGGGGGAGAGGTCGAAACCATGTTGTCAAGTTTGGTCTGAATGGTGTTGATCTTTTGAACAAAAAAGTCGCCAAATTTATTGGCAAGGACAATCTTATCCTCGAATTGAGGATACTCAATCTCGTTCACTCTTCCAAGCAGTCTCTTAGTTGCYGAAAACAGTTTCCTCTGATCGGTACTGTTTTCTTCGATGAAGCCTTTGCACTGTGCCAAAAAGCTAATATTCGATGGTATTCAAGAAWCGCATATCCCCTCAGTACTTTTAGTGTTCTAGGATATTCAAGATACCTATCATACTTGAAGTATGCCTGTTGTATTCACGATGAATACTAAGCCATACCTCACGTACCAAGTATTGCTGGAGTATTCACAATGGTATACTTGTCATACAAATATTCTAGAGTATGCTGCTAGCACACACTCGAAGTTTCTGTAGTATTCAGATAGAACACATAAACTTAACAACTGATTATCAATGGAGTATGCGTACTGGTATATGTCAATATACAGAATGTATTTTATTTGATATTTCATTTTTTCAACAATTGATGTTAAAAAGGTAGCATTCTGGTTTAAAATTATCGACTACAATGTTTAGGTGTTCCCCTTTATGTACTGAAATTACCATACCATAATGTGAACTAATTTAATGTTTATGTATATATTTTTAAGTGCTGTTCACCCTTATGTACTACATTACAATTAAGTAATATACTATAATATGAGCAAATTATATAYACACACACACACACAAGAGATTATCAAAAAGTTAAGATTCATTGAGGTCAGTAAGCCAAAGGTATTTCACTTAATTGAAAACAATGCTTACTTTAAGTTCAATTGTTATTCAACAGAGCACATGAATAAATGTTGCTGCCACTCCACTTCACAGCCCAGTTTTAAGATCTCAATATTAAAGTGGTCACTGAGTACATGTATGAAAAGTGCTAAAGATCTTTCAACATTTATAATGGCACTATTAAATAAATAGTCCAAAACTATAGATGGTTAATGTGATCAAGACCTACTTTAGCTGTTCAATTTTGGATAAATACTTTTGATCATGTATTAAAAGGTTCAAAGAAGGACAACACCCACTTCTTGTAAAACAATGCTTACTTTAAGTTTCAAATGTTATCCAATAGAGCACATGTATAAATGTAGCTGC